AAAGGCGACAGCAAAATGAATTATGTGCAGAAAATATACACAGAATGTCGATGTGAAGTAGTCGCTGCGTAGGCATAAACATTCAATATTGCTGCCATAAAAGATTATACTCAAACGCTTTGCTGTGCACACAAACATGTAGATGAGCTATTAGTTGGATATTAAGAAGTTTCTGCTCTTTTTAATATTTTAAGAAATTTGTACGTCATCCAGCCGGTGCTTTTAGTAAAGAAAATATTGAAAATGTATTGCCTACTCATTTAATACTTAAGAGTTTATTTTTGTAACACACTCTCTCATATACTCTCATTACTTTCCGGCATAATTTATAATACTTCGAACTGAAAAAGTTATAAATCACTTTGGCATTATTATTAACTTATAGCCAAAAGTTAGGGCTATCAAATCATCAACTTTCTTATATTAGCAAAAGCACTTTTAGTAAATGCTAATTTATAAAACAAATCCCACACTTTCCAGGAAACAAAAATCCCTGTTAGCTATATTTGTCCAATATGGTTTTTTTTTTCGTTTTTCAAATCAAAAATACGCACATTGAGGTCAACTACAATATACATATAACTGGTTCCCTCTCCAGCATATTATTGGTTGTCAAAACTCATTTGTTCTTAAAAATGAGATGTAATAGTTCCACCGTCAAGAAAACGAAAGTGATCAATAAGAATATTAGATTAGCAATCAGTGCCTAGCAATCAGTGCCTATCAGAGCGACGACTGATGGGGTAAAATACTTCGTATGGAATGAAGCAAATTATGATATATTGCCTACCTTTAGGGGCCGCTGCAAATATTTATATTACAATGCATTGAATTACAAATGATAATTATTTTAACCTATTTGTGTGTTCAATTATTAATTTAAGAGAAGTTTTAGTCAGAAAAAAATGTAAAAAATCATCATGCGAAAGACCGTGTTATACCTCCAAATTAACTTCAGATAAAATATGTTGTCAATAAGCGTTTGAAATATTACTGAATCAGGTAGCTTATAGGTATATTCAATAAACGGTTCTTTCAAATGCATTCAGATAATATTTTAGTTAGGCCTTCGGCTAAGCACTATAGTATGCTTTAGTATCGGCATCTTCCCTTCAACTATCCCCAACGAGTTGATATACTTACTTGATTCCATAGATTGGAATTCGTTAAACCATTCTAAGATTAATTTTACTACTTTTCTGATTATTTTATCATTAACCATTATTCTTAAGAAAAAATAATATCGATTATACCAAAGTATGAGATAATAAGAACTCGATGACTGATCGCAGCATCAAAGCTATTCAAATAAGAGAGATTTTTGGGTGCGATGAAAAGAATTTTGTTTTAAATCTAGAGAGAGCCAAATGTAAGCTCCAAAATTTTCTTAAAACAGCTTCTTGGGTATCAATTTTCACTGGATCTAAGTAAATGCCAATAATTGCGAGATTGCACACCTGAATTGCTGATCTAGGCATATCTCAATGAGAACTCGTCCTTCTTACTTCAAGGATAATTAGCAATAGAGATCTAAACAACGAAATATACGTTCTGAACAAGTCTCTGGATAAAGCAATGAAAACTTGCAATCGAAGATCATTTGTGTTCAAATACTGCCTTTTGACGAACTTAATTCTAAAAAATAGTAGCTGTCAAGGATATCCGTAACTACGAAGATTTTCTAAATAGTAAGAGCTCAAATAATAAGATTTAAACTTGTAACTAAAGACAGCGGAGCAGCATTAAAGCAGATTTTGGAGTGAAATCAGAGGAAGACCTCACTCTCTCTTCTAAGGACATTTCGAAGTTGTAGTACTTTAAATTAGATTCTTAACTGAAATCATATGGAAACCACACCCGCAATAAATTTTCTAAAGAAATATCGAAATTTTATTTTATGATAAGTATCTGGCTTCTTCCCGCTAAATGTCAAGTGTCGATAACCTGCAATTGAAGTTCGTTTGCCTTGGAGTATTGCCTATTTGGCGAACTTAATATTAGTAGATAAGGGAAACTGTCGTGCATATTTGTAAATATGAAGTACTTCCATAAAGTCAGTGCTCAAAAATCTATAGACAGTGATGCAAGTTAAAGAGGATTCTTGACTGAAATCGAGGGGAGATTCCACCAGGTTGAGATCCTATCAGATGGCACCCTCACTCCCAATAATTTCAAGTTAAAATTTTATCTTATGTTATTCAACTATACTCAACTATATTTTTACATAACAAATGTCGAGAAATTTCAAACTTTTTAAATATGTTTATTACATTTGCATACTTTTAGGTTGAACCTTTTTGAAAATGCAAATTTGCACAAATTTCTAAAAGTTGTAATCTTTTCAGACATTTCCCAACTTGTGTATAAATAATATTAAAATCTTATATAGTTACGCTCAATTTAAAAGATTTGTAAAACTTTTGCTATTATCAGCTTATGCTAAATAACTCATAACTGCCTCTATAATATTTAGTTAGAGCGTTTATTTTGTAATAATTTTTTTATCACACATTTTTTTCAACTTACTTACGCACTGCCTTAAGCAGATAAATATATTATCGCACTCTCCTCTATTTTTAACCGCTTGTATACTAGCCTAGTTGTAGTGCATTACTTTTTGTTGGTGTGTGGGGCATAAAAGTATGCAAGTTAATCCTATAAACAGTTACAGTTTATTAAATTTGTTAGCTGTTTTCATAGCAGGCGAGAACAAACACAATTGTTTTCTTTGTTTTTGTGTCCTGCTTTCTTTGTTTTTGTTTCTATTCTGGCTTATGTTTTTTTTTTTTTTTTTTTTTTTTTTTTTTTTTTTTTT